CTAGGAACCCCTTTTGAGCTTTCAGATGACATGCTGTTGGTTGATGAGAATTGCTGTTCTAGGAATCTACTAGGAGCTTATCCATCCGGTGTGGCAATGCATTAGGAACATGGTTCTTATTTTAAGAGAGATGGCGTTACTATTAAGCTTAATACCTCTAAATATATGCTCCGCCTAAATAAATCTACTTATACTTACTGTAAGTACTACCGGACGTGTACTCTGTAATGCAAATGTAATCAAAGAGGGCGTCCAGTGGAACATGCTTGGTATAGGCCTGTCGTTTTGCAAACGATTTAGCGGCCTCCGTTGTGTGCATTCAATCATACAACAAGTTTCGAATTTGCTATCGGTTTCGGTCTCGGATAGCTTAAGGAGACCGACAAGGAAGAGTTTCGGCCGAATATTCGGAGACAGTTGAGAGCTAGGCGGCGGACTTAGGGCCAGACTAAAGTCCGTTGTAGAGTATCGTCGATGACATTGGGATGGGAAATTGGATCTTTTTTCTGTTTTGTCACTACACCATCGTTTCCTCCTTCTCTCTTTTGCCAATGCTGGTCGTTCATCTCTGGGAAAAGATTTCGGTATTTAGTTGTTGGTTTGCGCCCTCCGAATGCTGCTTCTTCTCTCGACAGAATTACAGTCCCACCTCATCCACGATGGTACCAACTTTCAACCCCGCTGCAGACATTCCGTCCCTATGTGGAAAGACCATCTTCGTCACAGGCGGTAATACCGGCCTTGGAAAGCAATCGATCATTGATTTGGCCCGACACGATCCAGCGCAGATCTGGCTGGCAGCCCGCGACCTCGTCAAAGCGCAAGCAGCAGCCACTGAGATACGTAGCATAGTGCCTGCGGTGCCGATCATTCTTCTCAAACTGGACCTATCCTCCGTCAAATCTATCAAGGAAGCAGTCACACATTCTCATCCACTGCTAAGCGTCTGGATATTCTCATGCTCAATGCCGGCATTATGGCCGTTCCTCCTGGCCTCACAGAAGAAGGCTGTGAGATCTAATTCGGCACAAACCATGTCGGGCACGCACTTCTGACAAAACTTCTTTTGCCTCTTCTGGTGGAGACAGCGGCGAAGTTCGAGGCAGATGTGCGTGTAGTTGTGCTCTCTTCTCACGCCCACAATATGGTACCAGAAGGCGGCATCAATTTTGACTCATTGAAGTCGGTGGCCGCTGAATACAGCACTTGGACACGCTATGGACAAAGCAAATTAGCAAATGCTCTTTTCGCACGAAGCTTAGCGCGGCATTATCCTCAGCTCACGGTCTCATCTGTTACATCCGGTAACGTGGACACCAACCTGGCAAGCACCTGGCTCGATTCATCCCTACTGCTTCGCATTGCCGGAACCATCTTGCTTCCCGTGGTGAGGATCTTTGCATCGACCGTTGAGCAGGGTGCTCACAATCAGATATGGGCCTCTGTATCAGCCTCAGTAGTATCGGGGGAGTATTATGCGCCTGTGGGGGTGGGAGGTAAAGCAAGCCAACTTGCTACAGATAGCGAATTGGCAGATGAACTTTGGGATTGGACAGAACGAGAACTTGCGCCTTACTGACTAAAAGTACTTTTACAAGCCGGATGCATCTCGTACCGGGGTCTGAACGGTAAATAATCTGCTGCATGCTCCTATCGATCTCAAAATTGGCCGAAGTAATGTACCCATACCGTCAGTATTATCCGTTAGCCCAGGTAACCCAAACGAGGTACGTCTAGCAGTCCGAACTGGGAGATTTGTGCGGGTTCAGATGTCGCCTGGCCCAAGATAAAGCGGCCAGTTGCTGAACAAGTCGTTTGGAAGTGTGTACTGAGCAGTGTTCAAAAGGTTCAAATCGTGTTGTGGATTCATGGCTAAACTTGACGCCAAGAGATCGAATCCATTTGTCAAGGGAGCCACCGTCATGTCGGCCATCGGTTGGCTCATTGAATGAGACAGTGACTCGCTTTGCTGGTTGAAAGGACTCTGTAAATTCTGCAAGAACGAAAAATCCACTCGGCCCGGGGAGAGTGTCTCTGGCCTTGCCCCAGAAGTGACTTGTAAGTCTAGATTGGAAGACGGAGACTGTGATGTGTCCGGTCAGAACCAAATCCACAGACTGAGGAGTGGACGGATACAATCACGATGTAGACGACACTAGACTTACCTCCACGTTATCAGAGAGATTCATCTGAAGAATGTTGGAGCGCTCAGAGAGAAGCGTCCGACCTATCATAGAGAGGCCTCCTTCAGGGTTTCTTTGGGATAGTTATTGCATGCACTTGTCGATTCGACGCATCTGGACACGAAGCTTTGCAGCTAGCCCGGGGGACGAAGATGGAGTTGTTTCGACTCTTTCAAGAAATTCCGCCAGGACGAGAAGTATGTTCCTGACGTGTAAATAGGTCCACGCAGACACAGGCTGTTGAATCACACCGGCGAGCATGTGACCAACTTGTGCCAGATGATGTAACTAGAATGGCGTCAGATTCCCTTCAGGCCTTGGCCTTTTCGACTATGAGAAGTACTTACGGTTACTGTGCTTGGGGCGTGAAAGAATGCGAGAGGTATCATGCTTATTTCATCGAGGAGCTCGGTTGCGATAGCGCAATGCAAGTGGACGCTTGGCTTCTCACTGCCCACAAGTACCATCCTCAGCGTCTGAAGCGTGAGCAAGATGTTGGATGCTGCGAGAGGTTTTCCCCATGTATTAGCATTTGCAGATGGGCAGATAGTGCCTAGAGCCGTGGTAGATACAATTCTTACCAATGAAGCCCAGTCGATCCTTCTGGGGATCTCCTGTAATGGCTTTGATACGCTTAAGATCATCAGGAAGACCCTCGTACAGTTGAGCTAGAAGCCTGAGACTGTCTGCTGCTAAGACCTTTGGCGACTGACGACAGGCCAAGAAGGCTGTGACCTTGCCCCCAGGACTGTCCACAGAGGTTTGTCTATCTAATCTGCTGCATGCATCAATCTGCTCCAAAATGCGGTAAAGATCGGTGCAAAAGTTCCAGCCCTGGAGAAACGATGTTGCTTCCGCTGGCCTTTGTTGTATCCCGTTCGGTGTGATATCTGTGTCATCATATACCTCGGAGGGGTATTGTACAGCCGCTTTGGCTTCTCTGTGTCTAGAGATGAAGCCAAACATTTTGGCCAAGTGTTGGTCATGCTGATAAGAACCCCAGAACTTGGTGGAACAGGTCAGTGGTAAAACTTCTGGCCTTATTGGGAGATTGTACTCCGGGATCATGCTTACCAGACGCCTTCGCTCTTGCTTCTCACATTCGTTCAGATCCTCTGGCCAATTTGCTTCGTCATGGAAACCGCGGCTCACCGACAAAGAGACATAGTCTCCTCCGTGAAATAACGCCTTTTTGAGTTGTTCATTGTGAAGACACGCTGAAGCCAACAGCGACTTTGCTTTCATCAACGAGTACCAATCAGCAACTTCCGTGAGATCTTGTGGTATGACCTTCATGGCCGCGTCGTAACATTCGGTGGACTTCAAGCTAGCTTCAGCGCGCAGATCGAGAAGACCGGACGGTATTGAAATTCCGTCATTCAGCCGCCCAGCTGCAAAGCAGCAGACTGCCATCGTCACGATGAACACACCCCATTCAGATTGATACTTCTTTTGCTCCACCTGGGATCTGAAAGTTGGCCAATGAAAATACGGCCGTCTGGCGTCAATGGGTTAGTTGAGCGTCTAGCCTAGGAGATACCTTGCACGACCGGGACGCTGCACCTACAGAGGATAGCCAACGTAGTAGAACACATCTACGAGTCCTTCGATAACTTCATGCTCGAGTGTGGTTTGAAATTGTGGGGAGGAATATCCGTCGTTGTCTGTAAGGTTCCGCGTTTCGTTCCCGATGCCTTCATCTTCTGGGGTGAGCACAACGGGAGCGTCTTCCGGTGATAAGCGATTAGTCTCGGCACTCTGGGCATCATCATCGGCAGGTCTGGACCTCTTCGATGATGGCTAAATATTGACAGGTCAGTACTGCTAGGATGTACTGCTAGTACTAAAATGCTAGGTGGCTTACACCGCGTCGCTTTTTGGGCCTGGTATATGTGCATTCGGAACCGATCTCGGTACAGCGAATGCATGTAATGCCTTCTACTCCTGGAGAACACTAACTGATGAGGTCAAGATGAAACCCTGTGTTGCTCGAGGGGGAGCATACCTTCGAAGCATTCTTGTGACATCGATCACAGGCACGCTACACTGATGGATTAGGATCATCAAAACCCTCGAGAAGTATTCCGGGATACTGACAGAATTCCGTTTGCGCTTCGGTCGACTCGAGAGCTCCTGGAGGACAGAGGACCTGGCTCGTTCTACGTCTCCTGCGAGTGCCTGCATGGCCGGCATGACACAAGAAGTATAAAATGGTGGTGATATTTGAGATGGGGTCGAGCGGAGACGATGCCGGGGAAAGAAACATGAGGGGAAGTCGGGGACCTAACCTGGGGTTCTTGGGGAAATATGAGACGGACCCGCTGACTGACGGTTACGTAATGGGCTTCTTACCGAGAGAAACAGCTTGACATCGATGACTGCCCGTACTTCTACAATTCATGTTCTTATCCGAGTTCTGCATAAAGGTTCGCAGTAATTTTGGTGCAGTCAAAACATTTCTAGGTTGAAACTTTTGCTGAATCCGAAACGGCGGTGCGTGATCGAAGATGTGCTTTCTAGGCGGTATGCCTCTGCGACCAGCCAGTTGAGGGGCGTTGACTTGACCCAATGCTCAATAACTAGGACGTCTGACAACCATGACAACCTCAAGAGAAAGCAGTGTATTAACTGGAATCTTCATGCGACTATCAGCGAGTTCATCAAGGAAATCCCATTGAAACGGAAGATTGGGATCTTTTCCATTGTAAATGACAGGAAGGACAACATGGTGTCGATCTAAGCTACTACGTGCCAACCAAATCCACCGGCTCATCTTGTAGCGATTGTGTCATATTCTCGTAGCCTGCATAATCATGCCTAGTATGATGCAAGGCCGGCAAGCTGTTTTCCTCGAAGCGTGAGAACGGGCTCCTGAAGAGGTCTCTCGACGGCTTGCTGGTAGCTATGGTGAGTGTCCGGGGGAAGTCGGGGGGTAAGGCGAACGATGGAAGGATCATGGGCGGTGCAGTCCTTATTCTTCCAGGCCTCCTTTCGCTTCTCCTTGGCTTCGTCGGAGACCATGGAAGTAGGCTTGTAGCAAACGTCTAAAACCATTGTGTTAGCAATTGTATCGTGGCACCGAGCCCCTGATGATGCCTCAAACTTACATGCAGCAAATCTGTCGTTAGTTGAAGACGGAGCAGCGCCATAATGAACCGTTCGCTATGTGGCAGACTCATGGTCAGTGACTGCCACCCATGAAAGTTTTGGGATGTCGAGCAAAGGAACAACTCACCGAGTCCCAGAGGAGAAGGTCACCCGGCTCGCAACAAACCTTCACCCACTTGCATCCCTTGGATTCGAGCCAGGAGCACATTTCCTCGTCCAGGAACTGCTGCTCCCAGGTATTCCAGCCATTTTCGCCCTTCTTGTGATCGAAGTGCTTCCACAGCTCCGCATAGTACTTGCTGGAACCTTCCAAAACCATGAGGCCGCCATCATCAGGCCCATTAGGAAGCAGGTTCAGAATGCCCTGTACACACTGTAGTCCGGTTCGTAGAGGAGACTGGTCCACGTGCGACCATGGTGCGAAGATGGGATCGATCTTTGGCCGCTCGGAGACAGGCAGTGAGAGATTGATACCGTCTAAGTCCATGAAACGTTACGTCAGGCAATGCAGCAACAGAGAACATAATAGTTATCTTACCGTAAGACACGAGCAACTCATCCGTACCCCAGACACGGGCGAACTTGTCAATGAGGCTCGGTTCCGACTTCAAGTCCCACATAAACTGCTCATGGGCCACTCCGAAGCTAATTCCATGATGGACTTGTCACCGAGATTGTGAATGGCTAAACATCTAAGCAAACGAACATACCGGTTGAAGATACCAGCACGGTGCGTGAAGGGCAAGTGGGCAGGCCCTCTTGTGGCGGGGTCCGTTCTGTTAAATCCGTAACCCCAGTCCTCCAGCCAGGAGTAGGCCTTATCAGCGTATTTCAAGGCCTTGTTCTTAGGGATGGTCTCTGGGACAATGGTCCAGCCCTTCGTCTGGAGTGTCTCGAGCCATTCCAGGTCCTGTACAATGCTTAGAATGGCCGTCTTCAAAGTGGACATAGCTTGCTTATGTGCGGGTATTTTCGACCGAGGACGTGGAATGCTCGCATACCAGAGAATTCGGGCTATTGTCAAGACAGGCAGTCAACGACAATGTCGCGGTAGAAACGAGGACTTCGGTAGAAGACATGGTGTTAGGTCTAGTGGAGACAATGGGAACGGGCTTGATGCACAAGATTCAGCAATCTATGAGCTGCGGAACGGCAATGTCTCTTAATCCAAAATACACTCGTGCTGCATTTTCACATTTTAAAATGATGGAGAGACCTTGATCAATCAGTTAGCGATTTGGTACACATGCATTCATGCTAGGACACCCGTTCTCTCGTTTAGTGTTCCATTGGTGGCGTGGTGACTACCGGCTTGGAAAGGGTGGGTCGAGTTTAGCAGGTTTAGCAGGTTTAACCGGAATTCAACACAAAAAAAAATTTAGCCGGCGATTTAACAGCAAGACTCGTTGCTCCGCGGCCTCTAATGCGTCCTCCACTGTAACGAGAAGTCGCCGAATCGCATACCGAGCGCAGGCAGTGATCTCATGCGTTTTCTCTCTGGTGCTCTGTCCCCCGGATCTGTTGTCTCCGAACATGTGGTCTCAGATGCATAGCCATTTTCCCGTGGGAAAGGGCATGGGCAGAGATGACTGCCCAAGGATTAGTTTGTGAACACAATCGGACAGTAGGCTACTACGTATTCCTCACTGAAGCCATCGAAAAGTCAGCTTCGTGAAAAGCTCTTCGCTGCCGTTGATCTTTGCCAACCACTACCCGCATACAACAGCGTACAGGCAAATTCATCTTCCAAAGGGTCTTCGTTAAAATATTGAGTCGCGAATCTCAACTCGGAAGAATCGATGCTTTGATTGACAGATTGAAATGGCTGCAAATATGGCACTTAATCCATCCATGACCGACTTAAATGTCTGAATTCTTTCACGCTGGGATTCCCAAAACATATTTCATTGCAATCCAGCATAATACAAAGCCAGATTATTGTTACGGAGTCTTATGCTTGCAGAATAATGTCAATTCTACTGCGTGTTCGCCAGCCTGGCTCTAATTCCTAGACCTTTCTCAGCGAGATAATATTGACATTGAGCTTGTCGATCAGGTTGTCCCGCATCACCTCGGCGGCCTTGATCCTGATGTCCAGCAAACTTTCCGGACTCTGGTAAGCGCTGTGCGGCGTCACTACCATTCGTCCGACAAGCCATGGTTCATGGTCGCGATACGCCTGTAGAAGAGAGTGAATGGGACCCTCCGCCGGAATCGGCTCGTCTGGAACCACGTCCAAACCCACGCCGCCGAGGATGTTTTCTCTCAGACATCGCTCTACGTCGTCGAGATTGACAACCTCGCCTCTGGCGGTGTTGATCAGTAATCCGCCCCTGGGCATGAGACTGAGCAACTGGTAGTTCACGAGGTTGATGGTTTTCGGAGTGGCTGGGCAATGCACGCTAATTGTGGAGCTCCTCCGGAAGAGCTCATTGATATCGCGAGTCCGATCTATGCCTAAGGCTTTGTCGATTCCATTTGGCGCAAAAGGATCATAGGCAAGGACTTTCCAACCAAATGCCTTTGCACAGAGAGCAACTGCGGTGCCGATCAGACCAAGTCCCAGAATACCGAAGGTGGCGTTCTGGATCCTGGAGATGAGGGGAGTGTCGATGGGGCTCCAAGCTGCAGGCGGATTCCCCCGTTGAATATCATGGTGGTGGATCACACCGCGACGAAGGGACAGCGCGAGTGCCATTGCACGGTCAGCAATTTCACCCGTCCCATAATCTGCGCATGCCAGATCCAGTGCTCAGAGGCACTGCCGAATTCAATTCTCACCTGGAATGTTGCAAAGCACCACGCCTCGTTTGTCGAGGGCAATGCGATCCACCTTGTCATAGCCGACGCCCATGCGAACGAGCCTGCGCCCCCAGGATTCTCGCGTCAGACCTGTCTCATATCCAGTTGAAAGCACTCGCCGGAGAACTCACAATTTGAGATTGGGGAACAATTCCAGATCTGCAGCGGTGAAATCTGGCTTCAGTATTGAAATTCCATCGACCTTATCACGAAGGCTCTTGTCGATAGTCGACCATGGTTTGTAAGTCGGCACTCCTGCAGGCGAAAGATGCCCTTGATGATAGTTCACAGTGTAAGATTGATCTTTCGACCTAAGAATCTCTTGCTCCAGGTTGTCGTCCTGTTTTGTGAGCTTTAGCGGCTGTCAAATGTGAGGTCAAACACCAACTTACAGGGTAGAGTCCATCGGTGTGGAGGATTGTGTAAGTCGGACGCGCGTCATTCGCAATTTGAGACCCCATGTTTTCCAAGTAACCTGGAGCGGTTTGGACGAAAGTCAAAGACTTGCAGGGAGGCAGATTGTCACCGTGCCCAGTCAGATTACACTCAACGAGCACATCATATGTCACTGTCAGTTTCCCACTGTCCTTTAAATCGGCCATTGCTCAGGGACACCTCCGATCATTCGGTTAAATTTCAGTGACGGTTTGGAGTTTCGCGACCTAAAGCGGGCCTTCACCAAGCCCCAGAGGGCCGGTTAAACTAAAGTCAGCGTCCGCGGTTAAACCCAGTGAACCACGGCCTAACAGTGTCTCATTCCCGGCGTAAGGCGGCTAGCCATGCAAAAGATCAGGCTTGATTTTAAGGTGTTCAGTAGCATCTAATGCCCTGTTCCCCTCTAGACAGAAGTATCTCACTGGCTACAAGAGCATTTTTTCGACAAACCGCTGCCACCGTTGCTCTTTGTCCGCTTACCAGGTCGCCATGGCGTTTCACATCGAGGACATTTTCAGTGTCAAAGACAAGGTTGTCGTGATTACTGGCGGAGGTTCTGGCCTTGGAAAAGGTCCGTGGCTCCATGAAGGTCGATGAACTAAACTGACCAGCACGGGCAGCACTTGCTGAAGGCTTTGCTCAAAACGGCGCTAAGGTTTACATCACTGGTCGGCGTGCTGAGGTGTTGAATCGTGCTGCGAAGGAAATAGAGGGCACAGCCTCTGAAGGCGGCCAAGTGATTCCGTAAGAAACGCCGCTTCAGCGCTGGTCGACTACCTTCCAGATACAAAAACTAATCAAAATGTAGAATTCCTGGAGATGTCGGGACAAAGCATGCGTGTGCCCAACTGGTGGAACAGATTGAACAGAGAGAGAAACATGTAAGACGAGTACCACTCGATTGTTGTCTGGAGTTCTGCCACTGAACATAGGCAGATCGACGTTCTCATCAACAACGCTGGTCTCCCAGGATCGATCATCTATCCTGCCTGGGATCCTAATGATGGTATGCCCACTGGACATTCGCCCGACTTGCAAACACTGACATACTTCCCCAGCGGATGCCGTCCAAGAGGGTCTGTGGAAAAGTCTCGATGAGTATGAATTGATAACAATTTAGTGCATTCCACTGCCCGCCGGGGATCGCTAACAATGTCCAGCGATTCTTTCGCCAGCACAAACAGCGGTATGACACCCACCCAAGGTTTGGTTCAGCGCTGTTTCTAAACACCATGCAAGTCAACATTAGCGGTGTCTACTTCACAACCGTGGGGTTTGTGCCACTCCTACGCAGATCTCCAGATCCGAGTGTAATTGTCATTGCATCCCTGGCAGCAGTCATGAATCAACGGTGTGTACTCAATGATGCCGCAACCTGCTGTTCGACGTTGACAAAATGTTTGCAGAGCCATGGGGACTCTGACCTATGCCACTTCCAAGGTAAGTACACCCTAAATTTGTGATGTATTGTACTTACATCATGGTAGGCTGCGGGTGAGTACCGATTCAAGAAGCTGCATCATCAAGAGCGATACTCTAATTTAACCGTGAAAAGCCTTGCATCTGTCCAAGCTCCTAGCTGGCCGCTTTCATCCGTATGTCAACTGCCCATATCCTCCTGGGCAGAAGAAACAGATTGCCCTCGCGAGATGTATCACTGACACTTCTTTCCTCATCGTAGAATGAAAATACGGGTCAACGCCGTCCTTCCTGGCATCTTTCCGAGTGAGATGACCACCACGAACAAGTCAAGCGCTTCAGCTTCTTTGAATCACTTTGCAACCGCGGCGGCCAAGCGTTGCACAGCTGGTGAGTTGCTTCACATCAACTAGATTAGCTCCATTGCTGACTTCACTGTAGGACGCGCTGGACTGCCGGAAGAGATTGTCGGGCCTTGCCTGATGCTCTCCTCCAAGGCAGGCGGATACATGAACGGCGGCTGTATCATGGTGAATGGAGGAAGAGCTATGGTACGTATTAGATGCCTAAGGAGCATATGACGTCTAATTGACTGGCTCTATAGGGAGGGTCCATCAATGACGGCATCCGGATGCCGGAGGATACTTACTCCTATTAGAGTGTTTATAGTGTACGGCAAATACTGCCCAGACACGGAAAAGAGGAACGGTACTCTCAGTACTACGAATTGACTATCAGTCTTGAGCTTTGATCGAGTTGTGTTGGTCTTTATTTTGCCGTTCTCTTATGACTTTTGAGTTTCGAATCCATCACATGGCAAATGGATACCGTCATGGCGAATGTCGACATATACGTGCTGTGATAAAGGCTTGAAAACTCAAGTAGTATAAAGTTTCGTTGAATTGGTTCACCTTTGGGTAGCCCCCTATGAGTCGCCCAATTTTACGCACATCTTCCGCAAGAGTCCTCACATACCGCTAGGCTGAATTTGCTAGAATGTTGCTGATCGTCATCAAAACCAAAAGGCAACAATTGTGATGTACTCATTTGGCATCCTTCACCATAATTAAAGCCACTGCGTCAGACTTTCATGCGTGAGCCCTTTCAGACATGAGATTTTATGTTGCAACAACCCTGAACGCTGCTTCTAGATATGGCTTAAAACTCTATCGCTAGAATCTGTTCAGATTTGGTGAACAGAAGAGGCTCGGATATGACGGTTGATGGCGTCTGGGCGGGGGATCTCAGTAGCCGTGCCTGTGGTGGACCTTTTGGCCCTCCCCATTGGCAGTCCTGATGTCATTTTCCATGCCTCTCTTGAGTACACCGACATCAGTATTGACAGATATCATGTCAAAACCTTGGTTGGCGCGTGTGAGAGCATCAGCCCCGTCGGTGCCTTGGAACATGATTAGCCGCAGCGCTCATGTATCCTTGAGTGGACAGCGTGAGATGTAACAACTTACAGAAAATGGCACACTTTTTGTTGGCTGCGTGCGCAGCATTCGGTGCTTTCTGGATTGCCGCCTCATGCTCCTGACCACCGCGCTCCACACCCATTTGCTTCGAAAGATCGAACGGACCGATGAAGATGACATCCACGCCATCAACTTCGGCAATCTTCGCTACATTTTCGACACCTGCGCGAGACTCAATCTGCACAGCAACAAGGACGTCTTGAGAGAGAGTGTCGTATTCAGCCCCAGGCTCTGTGCCCGGGAAAGCATGAGGAGCAAACATTGGTCCGTAACCTCGAGTGCCTAAAGGAGGGTACTTGGCATACGACACAACTTTCGCAGCATCGGTCTGAAGGTCAATCTCGCGTCAGCACAGATTCAAGGCTGTGGATCAAGAAATGGCCCATGATGTGGGATCGATAGCCATATCCACTCACTCTGAATGACACATTGGAGTCATCACGCCATGTGCTCCGGCATCAAGAGCTCGCTTGATCATCCATTCTTCTCCTGATGGAACCCTAATGATAGGACTAGCGCCTTCGTGACCGACGGCATTCACGAGCTATGACCAGTGTTAGGCCGCAGGCATGAAGATACCCACCGTGGCTGTGGGTGGGTGTGCAACGAAAGCCCTCAGCGCCCGACTTACATCATAGTAGTGCACATCAGAAATCAATCCGTGTTCGGCGTCAACCAGTGTCCATGTGAAGGGCACAGAAGCCCCGGAGTCTCCACGAAGAATTGTTTTCGCAACAGCAGTGCTCGGAATACTGTTAGGCGCGTCAAACATGATCACTTTTTCCTCTGCAAATCTGCAAAGAAATGATAGAAAATGTGAATGCAGTAGTGAAGTAGGTATTCCACGTACGTGAGCCAAAACCCAAAGGCGGGAACCTTGCTTTGGAGGGCCGACTTGATGGCAATGTTTTGGGACATGTTGACCAAGTTTGCGATCTTCAATGACAACTTAAGTTTCTTTGATAATTGATGATGTACGTCGGACAGTCTAATCAAGACGACGACTATGTAAATGATAGCGAACAGTTTCGGCGTGACGACATAGCCATATCCGGGACACGTACGGAAAATAACAGCCGGCGGCACTTTGGATTTTAACGTAAAGGCAAGGCTCGCTGCCTGGATTCCCTTCTCGTTGGGGCAGTCGAATGTGATTTTAACCGTTCGTCTTCTTGCCGGCGGTTAAACTCTGACTCGTCTCAAAGGCTCAGCCGGAAAGCCCACCCCAAATATTGCTTGGACAGAAATTAATGCCGGTCCAATGCCCCCGTGGGGTTTTCCAATTGCCCCGTGGGGAACACACCCCTGTTTTCACAGTTCCAATCAACTCTTAGCTTGTTGTCGTACTTGATACATAAAGTTATGGTAACTCTCTGGAGAACAGCCGATGCCGAAGACACGTCCACGGCTTACCATCTGCAACGTTCTCAAACATGCCTTCGGAATCGGAAAGTCCTACATATGCCGCCCATCGCAGTACGTTGATATGACTAGAACAGGTCGGATTAAGGTTGACTCAGTTTCGCGCAGATAACACGGACCCTTGCTGGTGGAAAGACTCAGGTCTACGATGGAGCGTCTTCTACAATTTTGGATGCATGTTATGCCCGTCCTATCTTGGCTGTAAGCTGCTCATCGCACCATATCTTGAGTACTTTTGTATGACTGACGACCAATCCGTTCAGATGATCAAGGCCTCTTGACCGGGCTCCAAGCTTTACCATCGTGGAACGAGTACTTTGATCATCCCCAGGGAAAATGGCTAGGCATCATTTCAGCCTCAATCTTTCTTCCTGTTGTTGTGATGGGGTTTCCATCTGCCTGGATCTGTAATCATTGGGGCCGGAAAACATGCATTTTGCTTGCTTCCATCTTTGTGATCGCGGGAGCCATTTGGAATGCTTTGTCGCGCAACGTTACCCATTTCATAATCTGTAAGACTACTCGGATGTTCTGCCCATTCTCAATCGTTCTCATAATCATTCAGCCAGAGTCACCATGGGAATCGGTGGCGCGATGGTCAAAGTCAGCGCACCGGCGCTTCTGCAAGAGACGGCCCATCCGCGCCTACGTCCCACCGTGGGTTCACTGTACTATGGTTGCTATTACATTGGCTCCCTGCTAAGCTCAATCATGTGCAGTAAGGCTTCCTGGTCCTCCCAAAGATGACACCTTGCTGATTGTTCCGTTTCGTTAGTCATCGGTCTCAGTGTGCCAGGTGACTGGAGCTGGCGGTTTCCCTGCCTTTTGATACTGGTTGGACCGGCTGCTGTTCTATCAGTTCTCGCCACAGTTCCCGAGTCCCCAAAATTTCTGCTACTCAAGGGCCAGGAAGACAAGGCGCTTCAAATGCTTGCGAAGTATCATGCCAACGGCGACATCAACGATGAACTCGTGCAATGGGAGTTCCGAGAGATGAAGGAAGCCATCAAAGCAGAGGCAACAAGTCACAAGACCTCTTATGTAAGTCGTGGACATTCCAAAATTTGTGGCCGTGTTCATTATCCTGACTCTCTCTAGCTGGACTTCTTCCGGACAACCGGTAACCGTAAGCGTCTGTTCGTCTCCGCAGTGATGGCAATCGGCGTCAACTGGGTTGGAAATGGAATCGTTGGATAGTAAGTAAACTACGATCTTTCCATATTCTCGCCACACATGTTTAACTGAAAAAAGCCATCTCGCGCCTGTTCTGAGATCTGTCGGTATTTCGAAGCCCCAGGACATTCTTTCCGTCAATGCTGGACTCGCCGGCTGGAATCTCATCGTGGCCGAGATCGCTGGCCTATACGTCGAAGACTTTGGCCGCCGTCCTATCTTCTTTGTATCGATGCTAGGCATGATAATTAGCTGCTCATTCGTGATGGGATTCTCTGCCGGCTTTGCTGAAACTGGCACAACAGCCCTTGGAGTGGCGGCAGTCCCTTTCCTCTTTCTCTTCTTCGGCTCGTACGACATCGCCTGGACGACGCTCAACTACACGTATGTCGCCGAGCTAATGCCTTTCAGCCTGAGAACCAAAGGGCTTGCCATCTACCTTTGCGTCCAGCAGCTTGGCAATACTTTCAACCAATTCGTCAACCCGATTGCTCTGCAGGCGCTGACGTGGCGCTACTACGCCGTGTACATTGCGGTGGACTGCCTCTATGCCGTCATTATCTACTTCTGCTTCCCTGAGACAAAGAAGATGTCTATTGAGGAGGCTTCGATGATTTTTGGCAGCCTGCGTCGAAGAATGGATTTCGAATCGGTCCAAGGGTCGGTTTTTGCTGAGACCGTAGGTCAAGATGCAATGTGTTCTTCATTACAGAGAGAGAGGCCAGGAAGCTTGCAGTCTGAGGGTGTGTTGAAGGAGAGAACGTCTACGTGATCGCTGCGTGGTTGAACTGGGATCATGGATGAATAGGGGCACGCAAAGATATAGAAGCTGCCTCTGCTCGGAATATCATAGCTCGAGGGAGGATGTGGGAAAATTCGAAAAAGAAATGCGTCGTCCTATTGAGCACCTGCACACATTCACGGGTTGTCTGATACTCGTAGCGAAAACGCAAGGAGCATTGCCGCACCTCTCAGCACATGAATAGTAGTGAAGAAAATGGGGGATATTTATAGTGTAGCGGATACCTCCAACGAGGCCTGGATAGGTGCCTCGTAAAGGAGCCAAAGCTCTATCAAGCATCCCAAAAGTTTTGAGTGGCTCATTATAGCCAGTGATAAACCACAGAAATCGGGCATGAAAACACCCACAAAGTACAATTTGACGTGACAAATTACCGATGGTGCATGTGAGGGGAGCCCATGGGTGTAGTGTTGTTTTCGGGGACGGGGGAGTCGCGTCCTTGCTGATGGAAATGCTGTTGGTCGTATGGTGTCGGAGATCCCATCTCACTTCGCGCTGTCGCGACTGATGCATCCAGTTCTGAGTATCTATGAAGGTTCCCAGAGTGGAACTCTGACTCTCGGGGTGAAGTGCTGTAAGGCGGCTTGTACAGGCCTGGTGAAGAGGTGATGTAAGAGCTTCGGGGGTCTGTACCGGTGTGCTGAGGCTCGACGAGGGTCTGGGCAGGTGTGTGAGGCTCTGCTGGCGGTGGTGCGTCCGGCTTCTCAGACAGTTGACGCTTAAGCGACTTGTTCTGCTTCCACAGCCAAAACGTCGAGATAAGACCGGCCAAGAGACAGACACCAGCTACAACAGCGAGACCAATAGTGGCTCCCTTGAAACCATCACCGTTGCCGGTGCCATTGCCGTCCGTGGTGTTCGCAGTACAGACTGATTCCTGGGTCTGGATGGAGATCGCTGCATCGGTGCCGCAGCAGGTTGTATTGGATGCTCCGCAGCAATACTTGGCTGTGCCGTCATTACAAGCGGTCAGAATAGTCGAGTTGGAAGCGCTTCCACCAGACTGTCTAGAGTTAGTACGTCTGATTTGAACGATCCCCGAAGGTCTATGACCGTACCGATTCATCCGTGCAGATGTTGACACAAGCCTTGCTCTTCCATGTCTTATCCGTACAGAACCCTCTTTGTGGTTGCTGTTGCTTGTTGATACATAGGCCGGATGATGAGCAGATATCTCTTTCGTCGGCCGGGCCGTCGAGAGCGCAGCAGCTGGAGAAGACGCCGGACTGCGTGATTCCGAGCTTGTTGCATGGAACGTAGGTCTCATTGTTGGCAACCGAACCGTCTGGCGCGTAACAGGCAACTTCTTGTGCTGAAACTGTAGTAGCAAGGCTCACGGCCACTGCTAGTAATGGCACCAACATCGCGGCGATTAATTCGGCTGGTTCGGATCCGTCGAGAGACCGGGCGATGGCGCACAGCGATCGAGTGTGGGACAGAAAAGAGAACGGAAGAAGAAAAACCGAACCAGACCAATTTCAATCAATCAAAATGGGGGGCCTGTCTGTCTTTATGAGAAATACAGTAGCACAGAGCTGATCACCTGTACGCCGCCGGCCTGCATATCCGGCGCATCCTTCCCACTCTCCTCCTCGCTCTTTTCCTCAAGCCTCGCTGCATCTCACCTCAGATGACCGGGGTGGGCTCCATCTTACACGCATAGAAAATGCTGGTAGCTCAACATACGATATCAGCACCTGCAGCCAACAAGCCCGTCAGCTGTCTGAAATAGGCAAGCGAGATGCAATGGCTGTGAACCCCTGCCCAACCGAGCCACTCAGAGGCATGGATGGCAACAGGCTGCAGCATTCGGCCAAATGAAAAGACCTTTCCAACACACAATTGAAGACAACCAACACAGCGGATTATTCACCAAAACTGGGCGGCTGTGTCCGAGAGGGAGGGGCACAATGAGGGGGCTCGGGGCAAACCGACATTGTGAGGGTGGCCACCGGACGCAATGATACGCTGGGATGGGCCGATTGGCACCGTCGGATTGAGGGGTTCGTCAATGAATCTGTGAACTATTATTTACGGATCTGAGTGTTTTCTTTAGTCTGCGCCAGGATCGTTCTCATCTCATCAGATAATTCCTTTAACCTTGCATGCAGTGTCTGAGTAGGTACAAGGAGTTGGCCTCATCACAACGTCTCTACAAGCTGCGCTCCGAAAATTTAGCACCGCCCCCAATCACATTCTAATGTAAGAAACAGGTGAGTTGAATTATCCCCCAATCATGATCCCATGGGCAATGTTCCATTGCAGCTACACCATGTTGATCATTGAAAAGCCACCTGGCTTGGCAGACCACACAGGCGATTCGCCCAGAATTCTGTGATCAGGCTATCGTACCGGTCAGCTTACTTGGCACTGAGGAGCTGTCAATTGAGTACAGCGTCGCACCGACTCAGCGATGTTCTGGAATTTGACTCAATGCGCGTCAGAGCAAAGTTGGTGACGCCTCTGAAATAGTGCAGGCTCTTTCTATGCTATGAGAATCACATTTCACAAGCACACTAAGTATTTACGTCGACAATTTCTTCACACCAAGGGGAATGGGATCGCTGATCCCCGATTTTTGAGAAGTCTCCAGCTTCTTTTAACAGTTGCAATACTTGTTAATCGCTCACGGCAATAGTTGATGTTTATTGGTTTGCTCTGAAAATGTAATTGTCCGCTGAATCCATTGTCCATGGCCTGTCATCCCTCCATGAAGAAGAACTTGGTCTGAGGTGCCAAGCAACACGTGCGAAGCTGGTGTAGATGCTGGAGAACTCGTGATACAATCGTATGAAAGGTAACCTAGCAATACCCAGAAGGCGTTCTAGCTGTTTGGTCACTTGAGCACTACGACGTTTGCTGTACCTTGGCACGCTACCTCATTTGAAGAAGGCAAGAGACTATCCGAAAATGACGATATGAGTGGAACATACATATCCTCAGAAGAATGCATGATGCCTAAATGTACATCAATGGGCGCAGTAGACATGTACGGCAAGTTCTCGACTTCGTAGCCTTGTTAACCGACGGAACGACAATACATATATTTGACGGGGTAGTGGTAACCATTATACACTCAATCATAAAGCCTGGTATTACACAAATACGCTACAAATAGAGAAGCCAGTTGGATCATGCCGCCCACCTAGTCAAAGTCTTCTCAGCTTTAAGCTGTCCCAGTGGCGACTCCCTGCTCGGGATTTTGTAAGCTCATCCGCCTGACTGTCTCTTTCTTTGTCGTCAAAACCTCATGCAACTCTCTGATCATGTCTGGAACAGGCCGTTTACTGATGAAGATGGAATCAAACTGCCCAAGCACCTTGGGGTAGTTCCGAAGACAACTCCTTGCTTCCCATAATAGTCTCTCCGCAAAAGCAGGATCAGCGGTGTTCTTGAGCATCTCGGCCATTAAGGTGTTGTATCTTCGCTGATTTGCGTCATCGACATGTTGCTACGACCGTTGTTAGATACTAGGACTCAGAAACGTAGAGAATCACACTGCTGATGCTCGCATGAATGGTCCGAGAATTCGTCCAGCGTACCTGGATATCAAACGTCAAATTGACAGTGGGTTCTATAACCGCTCCTTTGAAATCTACTGATGGAAACTGTTTCTGAATGTCTTCGCCATTTTTCATCGACTCGGCAATCATCCCCTCCCGACTTCTGCCGAGAACTTCCGGCTGCTGCGACGCAGCGTCGGATTCGGTGGAGCTCGCGGAGCTGCTCATCATGCGGGACTAACGACAAAATCGTGATTCTAATCCCGAAGCGTCCGGCGATGACTTTTGGTTGCGGAATCAGTAGGTTTGGACAAGCTGGAGCTGCCGTCTGAAGTTGCCCCTGTTGGCGCAGTGAAACTGCCAACTCAAAAGTCGCGGGATGGAGTCGGGGCGAACCCCAACCCTTTTATGCATTTGCCGTGCCAGTGGCACATGGAAGATCGGCTACCAATTTGGCGGGAGCGACACCGCGCCGGCAAAACGGTGGCGTTTGCCGATGAAGTCACACCCGCCCTGTCATTGGTGATTGTGTTCAACCTGCATGCGCTGTCAGCCCTTTTAGCATCAATTGTTCCCTAGCGGCTTGGCGGATCGACCCGGAGCTGATCCCGAGGTCAGTTCTGAAGAATGGTTGCTTCCCGCGCCTCGGCTTGTCGATCCGCTCGTCAACTTCAGGCGGGCTAGTTGGGCTGTGACACGCGCTCAGATTGTTTGTCAAGACGAATGAGTTGAATTTGACCAATGAATAAGCATTTTGTTCATGGCAAATGATTTACAATAGATTTACAATGGCGATCCGTCACTGGCCTTTGACGAACCAGACCCTTTCCTTTCTCGATTGTTTTGATATGTTGAAAGCGAAAAGAAGGATTATTCGGTCATCTGAAGAAAACGTCGCTGATACTCAAACATGCCGAGTAAAATGTGCCCCTCGCTCTTTTGGCACCTCTTAACAATTCGACAGTCGAGAAGGCCTAGCGGGGCGCTTCGCACCCTTCTTGCGCTCTGCTTCGCTAGGTTCGGCGGGTTCGGCGGGCTCTTCGCATTCTCTTGGCTTCACAACCGGGTTCAGAATGTCTTCCGGGGCGATGGCTGGTGCTGCTTCTTGAACAGATCGATCTTCGATGTTTAGGCGTCGATGGAGGCTCTGAAGAATGTGGGTGTCGATGGTGAAAGCCAGCCCAGTGGAGATGAGGGTGGTAAGGAATACAATCGATGAGAACTTCATGGCTGTGAAGCGAAGGTGATTTCGAGGTTTTGTTTTGTTGCAGATAAGGTGACAGGGCCAACGGCAGATATGATGGTTGTAAACAATCAGACGGCAAAGCGCAGGAAGTGATAAAGCGGATCAGGCGACTTAAGTAGGCTCTGTTGGGGACGTGATGTATGTATGTTATTTTGAGATACTTATGGTAGGCCTGGTGACTTCAGGGGTTTCGGCGTCGCCCGAGATCGTCGGCCTGACTCGCATGGGCTATGCACAGCCTTACAGAAATTAATGCGCTGGATGTTGTGGGTTACCAGCGTACTTTTTATAATTCGGCTGAAGTTTCATCGTCATAAGTATTGGGATCTGCCTTATTGTTGTCATTCACCATATTTTGATTGAGCAAGCGCAACATCGGAGGCCGCGGGAATGGCCTCATTCTGCGTGTTTTGTCACAAACCCGAGGCCTCTACATCCGAGCCTAATGGTTTGCGCTCGCGATTAAGCGACCTTCCTTGAACTTGATGGGGAAAAACCCACCAGATTATCGTAGTCAATGGGTAGTATCACATCAAAGTAGTTGCGCTGTGTCGGCGAATTAAGATAGGTTATCAATAGGTTCTGGATCAGTCGAGAAAAAACAACGTGAAACGAAATCGACGATGGCGGGAACGATGGCTGGAACTATGCAAATCATGGGACGAAAGATGTTTTTCAACCAATGGAAGGCTGATGAGAGGTATTATTTTCGATGGAGATAGTCTCCAGCTTCTATGAATTATGTGCGTCGTCTAGAAAAGGAGTGAGTTAAATTACGCGGCGTGTCCCGATGAATCATTATCGATCGATTACTCAGTGAAAACCTTCAATTCCACCAAACGGACCTTCTTGCCCTCCTTGGGCGTCACGAGAATTCTGACGGATTCGGTCGAGACACCAGTCCAGTTTACGTTGGTGATGCCATTCGCCAGAGGCGCGTCGTACGTTGCGTCGGCGACATCGGTCCATTCGCCGCTCAAAACCTGCAGCTTGTAGCTCGCGGGAACATCGAGGCCCTTCTCCTCGTTCGCGAAGAAAGCGATCTCGGCGCGAGAAATGGTGACAGCTGCGCCAAACTCTGTGCTGACCCATTCCTCAGTTGTGCTGCCCTCAGGGGTATCGAGACCATTAGCAATGGTGTCCTGGGTCCAGAACCAGATGCGGCCGTCAAAGACGTCATGGAGGCGGTTGATGTCGTAGTTGGCAACGGAAGTGTTGACAATAGGAGGAGTGATGTCAGCCTGAAGCTGGATCGCTTGGTCAAAGGGGCGGGAGACCGAGACGGTTGAGCGAGCAATGTCGACTGTCAGGCGCTCGAGCTTGTCGGATGAAGCGACCACCTGGCCGCCGACCTCAACGCGTAGACCAGCCTCGCCGTAGCGGTCACCAGTCGCATCCCACTGAACAGCAATCTCTTGACCGTGGTAGAGGATACGCTCGGCGCGGAAGTAGGAGATGGAAGATGGGTCAGCCAGGGGATTGACTTCCAGAACGTCATCCGCGCGAGGACGAATACCGACGAAGCCGGACAGAATCAAGTCAACGTAGCCGGAGTGGAAGTAGTGGTGCGAGCGTCCCAGTCCGACAATCGGCTCACCGGTGTCAGGGTCGTAGTTCTCCTCAATATCCAAGATGTTGTCGAAGTGCTTGTTGTAGTGCTGGTTGGCATACTGTTTGAGCAGCCTGGTGTAGTCGCCAACATTGACAAGCGAGGATGAGTTGGGGTAATGGTCGAGAACATTGGCGAGCGAAGTCAGGACCTGGGTCGTCTGGTAGGGCCAAGAAGGGCCATTCCAATGGCATTCAGTTTGGGTGCCCTCGTAGCGCCACACGCGCATATAATATTCGTACGAGGGTTCCACAGTGCGCAGTCCGAAGGGGCCGCCGAGTTGATCGGAGCTAAGAACGTGCTTCCATGCCTCACCGAACTTGGCATCATCATCGGGAAGATCATGCGCCCAGGGAACAATACCAGCGAGCTCACGTCCTCGGATGAAGTCCCAGTAAGTCACGTTCTCGTTGTTGACGAAGAAGCGATCGATGAAGTGCTCGAATGTGGAGTTCCACAAGTCTCTCTGAAGAGTCTCCTTGATGGCGTCGGCTCGGTTGTTGTATTCCGCAATAACATCGTCAAGACCACCCTTCAAAGCGGCGATCTTGGCGATAGCCCGTGCGTTGGCGTATTGGTAGGTGTTGATGGTAGGGCGGAAAGCCTGGCCTCCACCAAAGCCATCATACCCACCAGACGCGTCAATACTGGCGATAGTATACTCGGTCGCGTCGGCGAGGGGTTCGATCCAGAAAAGCCCCTTTGACTCATCGTAATGGTCTCCAACCCATTCGTTGTAAACCCTTTGCATGTCGTCGAGGAGCGAGATGGCGAGTTCGGGGTTTCCGTCGACGAGATAATTCCTCCAGACACCATCTGCCAAGCTCTCGGAGTACTGACGCGGGTTGCTGTCGGCGCTGTACATGAAAGTCGCATGGTCCTGCTTGAAGCGAGGGTCACGGCACCATCGGCCTTCTGAGAGATGGAAGATTGCGGCGCAATTGTTGGAGGCCCACGGCTGAGTCTGCCAGCCAACATTGTCAATGAACTCCGTTGTGATGTAACCGTACTTGGTTCCGACGTCGCGTTGGTGAGTGCGAAAAACATTCCAACGGTAGTAGTAGACTTCGGTGATTTCCGAGTCGCTCGATTCGAACAGCGGAATACGGTCATGGTACCAGGGCGCATCGTTGCCGAAGTACTTCTCGGTAACAGCGTCCACGTCCAATGCGGCCTGGGCCAAGCGCGCAGTCAACGGGACCGCCGCAAGAGTAAACGAAAGCTTCATTTTGTCGTACTGCTGGGCCTTTGGTGGGCAGCTAAGGATGGCTGAGAGCTTGAGAATCCTCGGTCTGTTGACATGGTGATTTGCGGCGACCAGCTAGACGACTTTATATTGCCAAAACACCTCGCTGGCGTGATTCGATGGGAAGCTTTGTCCCCGGATATTACCATATTCGGTCGCCCCGACGGGTTCATGATCACAAACAACCGTCCCGGCGTCTTGGCTTCGTACAGCAATTTCCGTCGCGAGCGGATCGCGGATCCGCGCTTCTTAGAACCTGCATAACGCCCTGAGCTAAGCACACCCGTGCCAATCGTACCGAGCCGCTTCCGCTGGGATGTCATGGAACTACCGCGTCCTAACGGGCGACGATGACGACTGCGCGGGGAAGACTTGGGGCGACAATAGGGGCTGGGGTCCCCGCATGTTCGGTTGATTAGCGCGCGAATGGAACCCCGCGACTCGAGTCGTGGATTACAGGGGGTAGAAGATTAAAAAAATGCCGACGGAAAGATCGACGGGAAATCAAGACTGCGAGTATCTAGCTTTGCAGCTATTCGGGAACCTCCCATCTTCATTGCGCAGCGTGATTTAAGTACAGAATGACAGGCCTGATGTGACCTTCACCGAAGCGACAGTTAAGTCGTGACGATATGGCGTTATGCGGCTTCCTTGAACCTTAAGTGCGAGCTTTTGACTAAGATGAACTGTATTCCACTGGTAATTAGCCGTTCAGGGCCTACGAGGTTGCCTGGGAGGTTGCATTGAAGACGATACTATGTGATATAATGTTTCCTAAGGTTAAAGCATCGGAATTTTGCCTTGCAAGCTGTTTGAAGGGGATCTCCTCCTCTTTCATGGCGATCAGTGTGGGTAAAGTCGCTAAATCTTCAAGTCGCGCAATTTCTGAATGACGGCACTGAAGAACCATTCCTGCAGCCTCGCACTATTCTCCGATGAATTGGCCCCAAACATCGGCACTCGAGATGGGTTTGGACCCATCAAACACGACATGACTACTTCACTCACAGTATCTCCAATGTATCCCCTGACATCGTCTGCGAAATGACCGTTGAGCAAGATTCCTTTCACCCTTGCAGTCTCGCTTGGGAGCTCTACTTGCTTTTTGCTGAAGCCCAGCACAACATCGATCGGCTTCCAGTATATGATCTCCAGCATGATAATACCAAGTGAATATATATCATGATGCTTCTTGAAACCAAACCCATGTGCGTCATCTCTCGGGCTTCCTTGGACGGCAGGGTGTCGATACAGGTCCTCTAAACCAGTGTGCGGGGGAACTTCAGACATGAAGTCGGCGTGTTCAGGGCGCGAGTAATCGAAACCGGAAAGAAATGGTTGCCCATAATCTACTCGCGATTCCGTATGGTTGAAAAAAAGAATATTTTGACTCCGAAGCCCTTTGTGAAGCCAGTTCACGGCGTGTAGTCTCTCAACGCAGTCTGAGAGAATTTTGATCAGCTGCAGACGAGCGCTGAGACTAGGCTTCGGGTGGTTCTTCAATAGTTCGAGGAGAGGGACGGGAAGAGCAGATGAGTCGACGCCCTGAGGGTTCTTGAAGACAAGTCCAGGCTGAGTTTCCGCCGCGCCCACGTCTTGGACATAATAGCCAAGACACTTCAGTGCCCTAAACTGCGTTGTGTACGCATCCTCCCTGAGAAGTTGTACCAAGGCTTCAAATCTGCTCAGGATCATGGAATCTGATCGGCGTATACCCATATGATGTTGGCGTGGTTCGGCAGTCTTCCATTCAATCCACACTCTTCTCCAAGATTCGAAAGAAGGTTTATACCAAACTGAACATCGCTGGGATATGAATTGAGCTCCGGTTTCGATGGGCTGTATTTCAGTAGTTTTGATCTTCAGGGGGCGGAAACTGGACTCGAGGTTGTTCAAGTTTAAATCTTGTCGCAGGGTGTTACTGAGTGCTCCTTTGTTGATTGCTACCATGAGACCTTTCACTTGAGCAAGACTAGCCAGGGGCGTGACAAAAACCCTCGAGTCGTGTTCTTCAGATGAACTGTTCGCTCTCACATAGAGTTGCTCTCGTGCGGTTTTATGGGTAGGGCCAGATAAAAGCAGACCGGCCTTGACGATCTCACATAGGTCGTCAATCTTGTCATTGAGATTCATGATCCGATAATCGGTTTGTGTTTGTTGAGCGCTGAGTGCCTGAAGCTGCTGGTTGTTGAGAAACTCTGTCAAGTAGTCGTTCAAACGTGTGAGTTTCTCCAGGATTTCTTCAATCTTTGCCTTGTCCGAGATCGCCCATCTCAACCTTGCAGGATACTTGGAAGTCTTTTCAAAGAATTTGAGCGACTTTTCAAGCAGGAGGCCTTCGTCGGGAAAACGGGCCTGCAACGTCTCTATTTTCTCTGTGTCGACAGCAATTGACGTTTCGTCCTCAATAGGGTGTGTACTAGTGTCCTCGTGTAGGAAGGGTTGCGACAGAGGCCGTAGACGGTCGTCAAGTCTGCCGAATCTGAACATCAATCGATATTGCTCATCAAGAATCTGTAGTATGACGTTCTTTGACCCGTGGCTGATGTTGAATGTCGAATCATCTTCAGAAAGTTCAACAACATTGGCCCAATCGAGTAATCGACATTGCTCAGTTTTGAACTTGACGCGAATGTATTGGTAGTTTTTCTCCAAGCCTCTGGCCTTGGAGAGTAATTCATATCCTGATCCCAAATCCATTAGTGGCATTCAGTAGTGGATTAACTTTGAACGAACCCTTGATGCATTCAGAAAAGATCTGGAACACAAGTGAGACTGAGCCCAAACCAAGACCGATACCTTCCATTGCGGTGTCTGACGAACGGTAAAGAAATCGATGATTGTTGAGGAAGGAGTCGTTGACAAGTCAATTGAACCAGCTTTTCCTTCTCATATCAAGGAGAAGAGACATGGGAATTGATGATGTGAGGATCAGACTGCCGATCGGAAATTATGTCAATCAGCGAATTCAGCTCATCACTTCCTAAATAACCGGGCAGCCGGTGTGCAGCAACACCCATAATGCACAACTACCCAGTAGGCTGACACGAGGCATTCTTGCCGGTCGTAACCAAGGCCATTTGTAATCCAGCAATGATCTCCGTCGGAGGCTATGCATGCATGATCGCATTAAAGGCAACCTATGACATCGCCAAGTAGAACTAGCTAGCCTTCCTTTTCTGCCGTTGAGTGCTTTTACGACAGCGTGCAAAGATACATCAGGCATATGCACGACCAGATAGCCTGATTATAGCACGCTCAACCGCTTGGAAAGCCCCACAGAACTTCATCGGCTTTCTTTGGACGGGATGATTGGATGTACTGGGTTGGAACTGACTACCTGTGGACACCTCCATGTGTCGGATGATCACAATGCGAATAAGGCTTGTTGAGGACGGGGACGAGGAGACGAACTTCAACGTCGCATCACACTAAGTAGTAACGTTGCCGTGGCTTCGATTCGAGGCAGCCATAAGGCGGCCATCTGAGCGTCCCGCGGAGGGACTTAAAATGCAGATCTGTCAGCACAGCCCAGGGATCTTCGATCTTACCGCCCCATCGAAGACGTGAGGCTCTCCAAAGCTGACCCAGTTCAAACAGTGTGCTACACAGATGACCGCGATTGAGGTCTCATCTTGCAGCCATGATGGTGGCTGAAGTCCGTCGGAGAGTGCACGACACAGATGAACCCTGTGGTTCTGAAAGGTGATACCTGAAAGCCTTTTCCGGAAGATCTTGGAGAAATGCGGACTTCCCAGTCCGAATGATCCGCTTGCGGAGAAAAGAGTCTTGAGAGACGCCATTTTCCCTGCGATCTCGCAGGCTCTGAACGATCGTGGCCAAGAAAAATGGAGTCTTAGCCCCAGAACCTTCTCGATTCTTTGGATCCTAAACATCCCAAACGTGATGGATTCTTTCGTCGCTGAAGGGCGGACCGACAGATATCTTCCTTACCATGAGGCGAACCTTCCTAATTGCATCCCTGGGGGCTTGAGATCTCGGTTCATGAAATTGCAGAGTCTGGTCCGATATCACCTCGCAGATGTTCGTGAACTCGAAGAAAGCGGCAAGCATGTACATCTGCCTCGAAACGCTGACGCATACTTCTTTTCGATGGAAGATCTTGGGAGTGGAAGATTCGCGAAGGTAGACAAAGTCCGCAGTTATCGAACTGCAGATATCTATGCAAGGAAGCAAATCCGTCGGGGAGAATCTGTGCTTGAAGACCACACGCAGCTGAAAGCCTTTGAGAATGAGTTGAAGTCTCTCAAGGAGGTGTCACACCGACATGCCGTCAAGTTAGTCGGATCTTATACGGACCCACACCATCTGGCACTCATCATGAGTCCCATTGCCGATGTCGATCTGAAACGCCATCTACTACGATGCGAGAAAAGTCTCGACAATCGAAAGTTCATACTCCGCCACTTTTTCGGCTGCTTGACAACTGCACTGGCCTACATACACAGCAAGAATATTAGACACAAGGACATCAAACCAGAAAACATTCTTGTCAAAGGTGACACGGTTTACTTGGCCGATTTTGGGACGTCCAAGGTGTGTCTGGATGGACATCTCACAACGAACGGCGAACCCAAGGAAGGCACTCCGCGGTACTGGGCTCCTGAAGCTGGATACCATGCTGTAAGCCGAGAATCTCAATTCCGCTATGTCATTTTAACCCAAGCTGACAAGGTCTACAGAATCGGAACCGCTCAAGTGACATTTGGTCTCTTGGCTGTGTCTTTTTGGAAATGGCGACGACATTATTAGGTCGCACACAACTTGAGATGCTTGAATTCTTCAACGCTCACGGGAACGGTAATCACCATTGTATCGGCCTCAATCTTGAGGCCACTCGGGAATGGATAGATGAGCTTCGTCGTTCCTCTTTCAATGATTCGAATGTGCTCGACTGGACAGACTGGATGCTTCAACCAAAGCCAGATGATCGCCCCACGGCGGCACAGTTACGAGGGAAGATCAAAGACCTTGATGCTGAATTCGAGTACATTTGTTACGAATGTGCTTCGCGAAATGGTATGAAGGACTGTAAAACACCGCCACCAACCTCTCCAGATGTGGGAAGAGCCATTGATGGTCCCGGTGCAGCTCTGTTGCAAGATGTCTCTGAACAATTATCCTTGGACAAGACAGCAACAAAAGACGCTGATTCGGGGCAGAGATTGCCGCAGCAAACTGGCAGCAAGATACTCGCGGAAGGAAAGGACGGTCGGGATGTCAAAGCCCAGGAGCCAAAGGTACAACATACCGCAGGCCCTGATACGGCTGACGTAAAACCCTGGCCCAAGCCAAAAGTCAGGTTCGCCAAGACAGACCAGGCGTACGAATCTAGAGACAGTCGATATTCGGCAGGAGAATCCATTCGATTCGCTGGTCTTCCGGAAGACCGAAGGCCTGAGCCAACAAAGCACCAAGAAGAAGAAGAGGAATCTTTTAATCAGGTTCCAAACGATGCCGGGTTCATCATTCCGGATCCTATAAACGCTCCTCCGTTTTCTCGTCGAGAGTGCCTACCTTTGCCCCGCGCATCATTGGTTCCTTCGTACATATTGGCTGGAACAAATCATTTTTCACGTAATGAACTTGAGCATTACATCTCTGAGTCTTCCTCTTCAAACGTATTTCTTTACGGACGCTTGATGTTTCCGTCCGTCCTGCACGCCATTGCTGCCAGGTCCACTAAAGGCGCCTACTCACCAGATTTACAACGCCGTATTATGCCTTCCTCGGACGACTGGAACTCGGCAAACTTATCAATCCAGAGGGCCAGCGAAATCATGATGCCAGCCAAGCTACGAGGATACGACCGCTGGCGTCCTACGGATTTGCAATGTGCTGTGATTCAGAGATCCGAGTACAATCAGGCTATAATCAAGAAGCCGCGATTAAGGGGTGCCGCTCCATTGAACCCTCCTGAAGAAGTCATCGGCTTCATCATGGTTGGAGTTAAGAAGGAGGCCATTCGATACCTTGATCTTCTTTTCGCTCAGGATGAACGAGATTTAGATGAGGTGAAGCCTCGATCCAATGACGAAGCAGCTGTAGAGGATGGTCCCACGAGGTCTCCGCTGAGAAGAGAATCTGTGAATGTTGATGTTGAGCTAGACACCGGGGAGATTGCGCAAGTCCATGCACATACGTATGTTTGGAAACATCACACGGCAGACCTTGGTCAGCTATGGGAAGAGGATCATTTTCTACGAGGGTCCAGGTTTCAGAGCCTCGTTGAACACGAGAACAGATGGAAAGCCGAGGAACAGGCGCTTGCAACAAGCATGCAGATCTCTTTCGCTCTCGTGGGAGACTACGTATGCAGTGCGGTTCTCACTGGAAATGTCGTCGAGCTCAAGACTTTGTTGGATCGGGAATGGAGCCCCGACGCACCTTGCCGCTACTACGGCAACCCCTTGCAAGCCGCTGTAGTGATCGGAAACGAAGACATGGTGCAACTACTTCTTGATTACGGCGCCAACGTCAATCAAAGAGACGGCAGATACGGGTCCGCCCTTATTGCGGCGGCCTTTGCGTCTCGCAAGTCAATAACCCGACTCCTTCTTCGGCGCGGAGCAGACGTATTTGCGGACCACCCAACTCATGGCAACTCTCTCTATCAAGCCGTCGGACAATCGGACTATGCCATAGTTGAGATGCTTCTCGAACATGCCTCGTGGCTCATTGAAGACTGGGGCGAGATACGCGACTTGGCCAACGAGATCGGTGACAGCGAAATCAAGAGTCTTATAAGGCAATATGACGTTCGACAGATGTACAAACTCTCCTTACCAATGCCTCAGAGGTCTCAAAACCCTAAAGAGCTCGAAGGTCCGCAATCTTACACCAAGGTCCTTGGCACTGTTGTTCAGAAGTGTATTGCTGTCTAGACAATGTCGGGAAATTGGAAAGGACGAAAGGGAGTCTTGGTTACGGTCGTCGCCCTTAATGCTGGTGCATCTATGAGTATCCTCCCCATCATGCGTTCTGCAATTGGCCCGGTTAAGGCACTTATTGATGAGCTGCGCCGTGCCGATGAGATTCAAGAGCAAAATCGCCGAGCAGCTTTGGAGAACGCGGGGTCGGATCAGCAGTACGATAACGAAGTCAAGCCTATTCGGGGTGGGGATGTTCACGAGAGCCGGAAGTTTAATAGAGGTCGACGACATGAGTAATTTGTATTAACTGAGGAGAGACATTAGTCATTGATAATAATGGATCAGACTGCTGCTCTCCATTATGTTTCTTATTAGTTTTCAGGCAAAGAACATACGTAGCAATCTTTCATATCAAGTCAGCCGTTAAACTTTCATTCATTAGCGACCGGATCAAAACAAGAGCGACACGGCCAGAGAACCCGGTTCATGAGCATCAGCGCAGGGCGCTGGAGCTTCGAAGATGAACGCCAAATGGAGGATCTAAACCATGGGGGTTTTCAGGCCTTTTAAGGATTGATCGACCGGGGATAGCGCCGTGCGTCCCAGCGGGAGCTCCCGCTAATTGCTGACCAACTTGCTGCGTCCCACCTAAGGTGGATACTCGGACGCTGTGGTTACAATTGGGGGAAGAAGTGAATGATGCCAGGTTGAGGGCCGGATGTTTCTGTGGTGGGAAGGTTCCATTTTCTGGTTCTTGGCTTGAAATGAACCTTCCAACTCTGGCACCAATGTCCGGGCGACCCACTGAATTGCCTTGTTGTGGAATACGAGCATCCCGCGTCGTTTTCTTTCTTCCCTTCTAACCTTTCTTCTTCGCAGTTTGCCGCCTGGAGGCGCACCTTGTTGACTGCCGTATGACTCCCGCGTCGTTTTCATCGAGTCCCATAGGCAATTCTTAAAGACCGCGACGTCGCAAATTCAGGAAAGATCCTGCAGATGGTCTAATGACAACAATCCGAATCTCTCATCCTCAAGATGGTGTTGTTCGGCGCCTTAATGCTTTTGGGGCTGGCAAGCCGAGCTGCGGGACATCCTGCTCACGGATTGTTTGTTTGTTTGTTTTGTATTTAACGCCTTAGCGGCAAGGGCGCAGCCGCCCTTGCGGCAGACCTCCCGAAGGGTATGTGGCGTGGAGGGCCGCAGGCTCTAGCTACATACTCTGCAGTACACGCCGCTTCCTAACGT